CTGAATGAGGCTTTTATCTGTGGAAACTGAGCTGGAATTTCCTGAGTGGGAGCAGAGCTCTGAAAGCTGTGTTGGGAGTTTTTATTTATTTATTTATGTATACATTTTTGTTTATTTATTTATGGTTTTTATTAAAGCATTGAGAGAAGGAAAGTTGTGCGTCTAGGAGGGCTCGTGAGATGATAAAGAGTTCTCTGTAAATGTACAGAGGGCATTACACGGCGGGGCGTTTAAGGAGCGTGGGAAATGGGGCGATTCTCTCCGGCTCAAGCTGATTTTTATTTTATTTATTTATTTATTTATGTAATCAGGACAGTGCACATTAATGAACAATCTCATACAGATTGTAAATGAGCCAGATTCTAGCACAGTTGCTAGTTTACATCTGCCGTCCTGAGGGAGGAAGACCAAACAACACAAAATCACAAAATACAAAATACACTTTAAATACACCGGGGAACAAACACCGAAAGCCCTTTTTCCTGGGGTCGTTTTGTGGTGTAATGCTCCTTTAATTTGTTTATTTATTTATTTGAATAGGGACAAAGCACATTAATGAACATCAGTATAAAAACAAATGTAAATGTGCCGGATATATTACCCTAACCCTAACTCTAACCCTAACCCTTAACCCTAACTCTAACCCTAACCCTAACTCTAACCCTAACCCTAACTCTTCAGGGGGTTAAAACTGAGCTCTAATTCCTCTAAAAAGACGCCGTGTATCCTTTGACTCGACTCTGGTTTGATTCTTTTAGCTTTTAAGAAGCACGCTTTCACTTAAAGCTGCACACACTGACACAGATCTTTATTTATTTATTTATTTATTTATTTATTTATTTATTTATTTATTTATTTATTTATTTATCTATCTATTTATTTATCTGAATAGGGACAAAGCACATTAATGAACATCAGTATAAAAACAAATGTATATGTGCCGGATTATAGCTACAAAGCTAGTTTTCATCCGTAGTCCCTAGGCAGGCAAATACATAAAAAAGAACATATAATAAATTATATGAGCATCACAAGGAAATGCTAAGAGTTTAGTGGTCACATGACTGGTTTGTTTTCATCCATAGTTTGAGTTGAGCTCTAAAGCTGATCCAAAAGTTGGAGGATTGGAGTCCGTTTGGCTGCTTTTCCAAAGACTTTCAGCCTCTTTCTCTATGTGTTTATACACAAAAAAACTCACAAATTATCCTTTTTATTTCACGAGTCGATGTTGTCCGAGATGCTGCTATTAACCCTTTAAAGCCTGATCCAAGAACAAAACAAAACAGAAAATTATTTATTGGGGGTTTGAATTCCTTATTTGGCCTTTTAACAAAATATGTAAAAAGAAAAAACAGAAATACATTTTGAATATTAATAATTTATTGCTATGCGATAAGTCAAGATTATTTTTTGTGTAGTCTTCTGCCCCCTGTTATCAGGTGTATCTGATTGTGTACAATAGGATTTTGAGCAATGTTTTTACCATTAAATTATGCAAAAGGAGTCAGACGCAAAACATTTCAGAAACTGTATGAATCAAATATGATACATTTGGCATTACAGGGTTAAAAAGAGAGCGTCTGATCGTCTTTTGGGGTGAAAATCTTTAGAGCCAGAGGCTGGAAAACCCAAACTCCACCTCTGTTCTCTGTTCTGGCTCTTTAAACTCTCAATAAAGCATTGAGAGAAGGAAAGTTGTGCGTCTAGGAGGCCTTGTGAGATGATAAAGAGTTCTCTGTAAATGTACAGAGAGCATTACACGGCGGGGCGTTTAATGAGCGTGGGAAATGGGGCGATTCTCTCCGGGTCAAGCTGATTTTTATTTATTTATTTATGTAATCAGGACAGTGCACATTATTGAACAATCTCATACAGATTGTAAATGAGCCAGATTCTAGCATAGTTGCTAATTCGCAACTAAAAACAACACAAAATCACATAATACGATATCAGTTAAAACAGAGAGACACACGTTCAGACAATGACATTACAAAAATAAAATTAGTGATAGAATTTGTGATTTGAGTGGAGCTTTTTTAACGAGAGGGGAGCTCCAGCGTGAGAGGCTTTTTTTTGTTGTTTTGTTGTCTATTTTTTTGTTGTTTTGTTGGTTTCTTTTTAGAAATACAGTGAGGGAAATAAGTATTCGACCCCTTGCTGATTTTGCAGGTTTGCCCACTTACAAAGAATGGAAACGATCTATAACTTTAATCATATGTACATTCTAACAGTGAAAGACAGAATCCCAAAGAAAATTCCAGAAAATCACATCATATGAATTTATAAAAATTGATAACCATCTGATGAGGAAAAATAAGCATTCTTTGTAAGTGGGCAAACCTGCAAAATCAGCAAGGGGTCAAATTCTAATTTCCCCCACTGTATCTCCAGTAAAACCAGTAAATTTGTGCCTCAGATCCGACGCAGAAGGCCGACGCCCGCCACCCTCCAGATCTACAGACAACCCGGGACAGGTGAGACCCAGAGGGGGGGGGGGGTCTGTAACGGGAGCTTTATTAGATTTATTAGATCTCTCTAAGTGGTCTGAGAGGCTGATGGACGCCTAACGAGGTTTCAGAAATGGCCGATCCAATCGGGTTCCAGCACAGGATCCCGGATACAGTTTCCCCCCGTTAAACGTTAGAGATGTATAAAGACCTGGAGTAGAAGTAGGGTTGTCACGATACTAAAATTTTCAACTCGATATCGATACTCAGGAAAATACTCGATACTCGATACCATTTTGGATAAAAACAAAGACCCCAAAATTTAACTGAATTTTGACAGGTTAGTGTCTTTAGTTTTAAACTGACCTGTTACTGATGTTATGGTGGCCCACATTAATGACCCTAACCCTAACCCTAACCCTAACCCTAAACCTAACCCTAACCCTAACCCTAACCCTAACTCTAGCCCTAACCCTGACCCAACAGCCTTAATAATTGTGAGAAATAAATATTTTTTGGTTAAACTTGTTTGGACTTATTGTACAAACCTATTTAACATCCACTATTTTAACATAATATTATGTATAGAGTTTAATTCAGTGTTCGAAAGATTCATTTCACAATTTTTAAATTAATGTCTATATTGCCATGAAGCAATTAGGATTTTCTTGCCTGGGATCTTCCTATTGGTGACCTAATCAAAATGGCCGACCTGGATGTGGGCGGAGTTGGATATGTACTTGATTAATGTTGTTGTGTTATTATTAGCCATTAGCCGAAGCTAGCAGTTCCAGGCTAACGTCTTGTTAATGACCATAAACAACGTAAATAAATACATAAATAAATCAGAGAGGGAGGGGGTGGTAACGATACTTTTGAAAATGAGTATCGTATGCGTATACAACATTTTAGTATTGATACTTTTTTGAGTATCAATACTTTTGACAACCCTAAGTAGAAGTACAAGTACTATATAAAAAATGACTTGAGTAAAAGTAGAAGTGTTCTTTCAACTCCATACTTAAGTGGAAGTACAGAAGTACTCCATTTTTTTCTACTTAAGTATTGCAAGTAGAAGTATTTCAAAAATTGCTGCTCAAGTATCGAAAGTACTGTATATATTATAGAAAGGCAGGCAAAAGTGTGATAGATATTGTTTATATTATTTCAAACGTGTTAAAGGCCATACAGGTGTTTACAAAACAGAAAACTACATCTGCATTAGCATCAACAGCTAGCCAGCTAGGTTAGCTTTAGCTAACGTTAGCTGCTACTTCCTGAGTGAACAGGGAGAACTGAACTAGCGCTTATTTACTAGCTTATATGTCATTGTATTTTTAAACTTACCTTGATATGCTTCTTCAGATTAGATGGGAAATTATTAATGGCCATGATTTCTCAATATTTCGGGAGGCTTTTTTTTAATAAGCTATCGCCCAATGAGGAGCCAGCTTCACAAACCCTGACAGAGCTATTTATCTATCTATCTATCTATCTATCTATCTATCTATCTATCTATCTATCTTCATTACGTTTACATATCAGTAACCAGTAAAGATTCAAAATCGATCGGAGTAAAAGTATTAAATTAATCAAAAATATGTAGTGGAGTAAAAGTAAAAGTAGGGAAAAAATAAATACTCCAATAAAGTACAGATACTGCATTTTGGTAGTTAATACAGTACTTAAGTACTTTTACTTCGTTACTGAACATCTTTGTTAAACGGAGGGAAAAGGGTTCCAGCTTTAGAACAGCTGGAAAAACAAGAGTTGACCTCTTGCTCTCAGCCTGGAAACAAACAAGGTAAAAAAAAAAAAGTCTGATTTCTTCTCATTTTTGAGGAGATCATCCGACTGGTCCCTGAGCCGTGTTGGAAGTCCTAAGTCCTGATTCATGTTTGGTTTTTGGGGTTTAATTTCTGGGTGGAAAGATGGAGAAAGGACAGATGGTGTTTGGAAGATCGTTTAGTTTCCAACTGAGATTTAAACCTGTAAAGCCCGATCCAAGAAAAATAGGAAGAATATTGGATTTTTTTTTAGTCTGAAGTCTTTCTTTGGCCCCTCAACAACATATGAAGAAGAAAAAAAAGGAATTATTTTGATCAAATTAGCATGCAATAAGTCAAAAATATATGTTGGTGTAGTCTTCTACTGGCTGTTATCAGGTATATTTGAAAATATATTAATATAGTAATATAGTAATATCTGAAAAAAAGGAA